GTCATTCCCGTCATAGTAAATCATGTGGTAGTCAGATTCAAAATGGCCAATACCAGTCCATTTCAGCTCACTAATGCCTAAGATATCGATGTTTATGCGAGCCATTTCATTTTTGACAACTTCCAATTTTCCCAGATTCATATTTCGTACATTCCATGTTCCGATTTTCAATGGATGCTTACAGCTGTATCTCTTCATTTTGAGTTGGCCCCATCAGCAAATGAAGGTTCTGTGGGCTTTTCTCCCATGAGCTGTACTCCATTCGCATTATCCCAGTCAACTCTTCTTTGAGGAGGCAGCTCTTCCCCAGTCGCATTTTGAGTGCCTTCCAAGCTGAGGGGCTCGATTTCTGGCAATATATCTGACAATGTTTCTCTGCTATTCATAAGGTTTTCAGTGACTAAATATTCAGAAGTAGTTTGCCACTGTTTCTTCCTAGTCTGTCTTTGTGTGGAAGCTCATCTGAAACCTGTCCACTATGGGTGACCTTACTGGTATTTAAAATACCAGTGGCATAGCTTTCAGAATCATAGCAACTCACAAGCTACCACAGTACAACAAGCTGACAGATGAGTGGTGGTCGTTTGGTTTTAAGTGGAAATTGTCACTTTAAATTTCGAGGAGATCTGTGCACATCCATAGTAAAACCCTCCAGGGGTGGGGGTAGGGTGTCCTTTTGCTCAGGCATCCTCCCTAGTCACCAGAATGAAGATGCACAGACAGCGAGAGACCAATGCACAGATACCAAAAAAGAATGTACACACCTGTATCTCCGCGGTTCTGTCAGGTGTTTGTGACTGTTCTGATCCTTTCCCTACTGGTCTCTCTCAAGATGGTGGCTCTGGGAGCAGCTGAGCGTCTTGAATTAGAAAGCAATGGATTTCTTGATCCTGCTATAAATTCCCCTAGCTGTAAATATTCCTTTATATGTGGTTCAGAGTTCTAGGGCCATCCCCTCAGCCTGCTTAGTCTGGTATTCTGTGTTGTTGGTGATGGAGCTCCTCATTACACGTCTACCTAATCTGCCATTTTAGTTTCCATCCTCTTAGGGCACTAAATATAAAGGTTAGTGAAAAAGAAGGCCTGGTAGCTTTGCAGGGTAAGCAGTGGACTGCTAACTACAATGTAGGCGGCTCCCACTCATCACTGGCTCCATGGGAAAAAGATGAGGCTGTCTGCTCCCGTAAAGGTTTACATTCTCAGAAATCCCAAATAGGATCACTGAGTTTGAATCAACTCGATGGCAGTATTTTGTTGAGTTTTTTTTTTTTTTTGAAGTAAAAAAGTATTGCTGTAAAATATAAAACCTTTATTAAACAAATATTTAAAATGTGAAGCCACTGTTCCTTGATATATCCGCCATCTAGGCCTATATGCTTCTGAAGGTAGTGTTTCCATCTCTAACTCTTCCCTGAAGAATTCTGTATTCTGTTTATTCCTGAGGAAGTCAAATTGTGATCCTTTTAAATGTTCTTTGAACTTGGGAACAAGCAAAATCTAATGGGATAAGATCATGGCTGTCAAGTGGATTATGTAAGGTTGTAGAGTGAAGGGTCATACATCAGCCCTTCCTACCCTCAAAGAATGGGCAGCTGCATTATTGTGATGGGGAAACAACTCCTTGGCACAACTTTCTTAATCTTTTCCACCAATGCCATTTCAAGATTCTTACAAATTCTTCATAATAATACCATGTGTCTGTCTTGTGTCTTTCAAGACACTATCAAGATTACCCCTTTGGAATTTAAAAAAACAACCTACCCAACCTTCTGAGCTGACCTCTCTATTTCAAATTCATCTTTGAGGTCTTCCTGACCTTAAAATACTTGATCCAGCTAAAATCTTTTGTTTTATGTAGGGCAGCATTCCAGTAAATTTCTTGCAAAGTTCCAGTGATTCGGGAAGATGTCCACTTGAGTTTTCTTAAGAATTTGATATTAGCCTTGACATCAAACATTTTTTCCCCATGGCACAGTAAGTATCCTTTTTTGGGAAGACACTTTAATGAGGCTAAGACAAATGTATCACTGAGAGAACTTGTCTGCAGCCATCCACTGATTGCAGAGACATGGTTAAACTTACTTTGTAATAAATCTAAGCATGTATGAGCTGAAACCCTAACAGAACACTTGTTGACATGCTCTCTTATCTTCAAAAAATAAAATAATGCCAATCTCCCAAGACAATTAAGAAAGATACTGTAGCAAAATGACAGCAACAAAAAACAACACCCCTGCCCCACCCCCACATCGAGAGTGAAAGGTAAGACATAGATTTAGCGAAGACATTTGAAGTATTTTACATCAGACAAAGGGACACATCCAGAATACAAGTTTCTATAAAATCAATAAGAAAAACATTGGCAACCTAATTAAAAACGGAGTCAGTAACTTGACCAGACATTTCAAACTAGAGCATATGAAAAGGTGTCGAGTGATATTCCTTTAGAATGTAAGATTCAAACCACAATGAGGTATTATGCCTAACAGAATGATAAGGGAGTAAACCAACTAGAACTCAAACTGGTGGGAAGAGAATAATTGGTACTATCACTAAAGGAGCTCTGGTAGCATGGTGGTTACGAATCGGGCTATGAACCTTAAGGTCAGCAGTTCAAAACTACCAGCTGTTCCATGGGAGAAAGATGAGGCTTTCTGCTCCCGTAAAGATTTAGAGACTTGGAAACCCTGTACAGGGTAGGTAAACATATACTATATAACCACCACACTATATAACTCACTTATAACAACTCACTCCTTCTATAGAGAAGTGAATATTATGTTTGGAGTTATCTTTGTCTCTTGACAAACATTTTACAAGAATGTTCATGCCTGTGCTCTATTCATAAAAATCAAACACTGAAAAAAAACCAAGTACCTGTAATGAATGGACAAAGAACTGTGTATTCATAGATTACAAAACCATAATCAGCCATTGGTACAAATCGACAACATGCATGAACCTCACAAATGGAATGAAAGGGAGCCAGGCATGTAAGAGTTCACATGGTCTGACTCCATTTATTTGAAGTTTCTAACCAGGCAAAGCTGTGGTAATAGAGGTCAGGAAGATGGTGATCATGGCGACCTTTGAAGGTGGGAAGGTAAATTGGCCAGTAGAAGGCATAAGTAGCCTTCTGGAGTAGAGGAAATGTTCTGTATTTTGATAAAGTAATAGTTACTAAGTGTATATAGAACTGTACACTTACAGTAAGTGCACCTCACTGCAATAGGTTGCACATCAATAAAAAACAGAAAAGAAAGGCCCACTACCTTATCTTCTGCAGATTGGCCCAGTTCCTCACTGCTGAATGCTTTCCTAGGCTGCATCTCCAATAAGGTCCTGAAGAGCGCATTGGACGTTACTGTCAGGAATTCTATTTCAGCATTTGGATGGAGGCCGTACAGTGCTGGGCTCTCTGGAGGAAGCATCTCCTCTATGTATTGGTGGTAGCCGGAATAATCCAGGTTGGGTGGGGCTGCAAATCCTGGTGCCAGCAAAAGCTCATCTTCAACCTTCAAACACAAAGAAAAGCTGGTTATTACAATGTGCCAGGCATCAAACTCGTCTTAAATGCTTTGAAAGCTCTCAGGCAAGAAGCCCCAGTACAATGCTGCATGCATAGCAGATTCTCTAAAATATGTCATAATTCTTAATGATTCTACTATACATATGACACCAGGCTGACCCTTGGAAAGGATTAGAAGGGCACACATGATTCTTATCTGTAAGAGCACTATGATTCGCTCAGGACAAAATGATATAGGGATGCTGTCATGGATTGTGTTCCTTCAAATATACATCAACTTGACTAGACTATGACTTCCTCCCAGGGTTTCAGGACTATTCTTCAATTTGTGATTCTGACCCAAAGCTACCTTATGCACTACAGAGCAAAATACTGCCTGATCCTGCACTTTCTTCACAATTGTTGTTACATTTGAGCCCATTGCTGTAGCTCATGTGTCAATCCATCTAGTTGGGGGTCATCTTCTTTTCCTGGTTGGTACTGCTGGATAAGCACTTGACCACAAGGTTGGTTTAAACTGCAAGGCCAGCAGTTCAAACTCACCTGCTGCTCCTTGGAAAACCTATATAGGGTTGCTATGCGTTGGAACTGACAACAGCACTTAACAACCACCACCACTTCACCAAGCATGATGCCCTTCTCTAGGGCTTATTCTCCCATATAAACATGTCTGATATATGAAAGATGAAGTCTCGCCATTCTGCCTTCCAAAGAGCATTCTGGCTACACGTCTTCCAAAACAGATTTGTTTGTTCTGGCAGTCCATGGTCCTTTTAATATTTTTCTCGAACACTGTAATTCAAGTGAATTAATTATTCTACAGTCTTCCTTATGTTGTCAAACTTTTACATGCAGACAAGGCTATTAGAAACACCATGACTTGTGTTAGGCAAACGTTAGTCCTCAAACTGACATTTTTGCTTTTAAAAAATATTGCATTTGTTTAATGCAATAAGTTGTGTAATTTTTTGACTACTGTTTCTCTGAGTGTTGATTGTGA